TTCTGACTTGAGTCATTCCCCAAATACCCAAATACACACTCATACAGCTGGAGATAAAAGAGATCTTTTTTTTTCAGAGCCCTTCAAAGGGCATATGAAACCCAGGAGAAAAATCTTCTCAGACAGATAAATGCACTTGCTCATAGATATGGACACAGGAACCCCATGTAAAAAGCTTCAGGAGACTAATAATGTGGGTGGAAAATTAAGGCACCTCATAAAAGGTTTTTAGTAACAAGGGAACAGTTCACATCAACTCGGAAAGGTTAAAGAAAGCAATTTATAGACACTAATTAGGGCCTCTTTTTAAAATGTCTTTGCAAATGACAAGGTTGGTTTTATTCCAGAAAGGTGCAACGGGAGCACAGTAGGAGCTGCCTGGGGATGGCTCCCGAAAGGGTTTGTCACACTTGTCATTGCCACACATTTACAGGAGATTTAAGGGTCGTCATTAAGGGAAACATGGGGGATGTATTTATACAAGTAAGCCATAGACCACTTATACCCTCCCCAGGGAAATCTCCACGCCAGCGCAGGACCTGCGAGCCCCAAGCTTGCGCCCACTGCTCTGCTAACTGGAATCGTTTTCTTGGATGCCAAGTCCAAGGTCATCAAACCCAAGTTTTCATTCACTCTCTGGCTCACCAGCTGTAAGGATCCGCATGGTTAAACTTCTGCGGGAACGCTGGTTTATGCAACACACCGACAAAGTTTTCCTTGCAGGATGAAGTGCCAGAAGGTGGGAGCTGAAGGACTTTGCAGCTTCCCTGAGCAACGGCCAGGGGGGCAGCGGGCACCCGCGGGGAAGCAGCTCTCGTCCCCAGAGCAGGAGAAACCAGGGCACCTCCAGCACTGCTAGAAGGTGAGTCGGCCCTTCGGGGGCTTTATTTCTGCACTGGTTTTATGAAGGGAACACAGTTCAGCCCCCCGCTAACACAAACATCTCCAGCTTCTGTCATTCGAGTGGGAGCTCCCCCGGCAAAGGGGCTGGGTGTGCAAAGGGACTTCCAGGCAGCAAATGCCACACGTCTGTACAGGCAGCCCATATACCCACCCCTGGGATCTTTTGCTGCTTTACAGAACACGAGCTCCTCTCCCTGTGCTCTGGGGCTGCTTTTATAGGAGCTCAGCAATGTGCAAAGACACATTATCACTCAGCTGGACACGACAGCCCTGCAGCATCTGGGGCTGCTTTTGGGGACGAGGTGCCACACCCAGGAACGGCGGGACCAGCCTCCTCCCCATGGCTTTAGTCCATCACCTTGCCAGATGGCCTCGAAGGGCCACAGCCTTCAGCAGCCCTCACAACTGCTTTGCAATTAGTGCAGTAGCCTATGAAGCACTGCTTTATTGCATTGTGAAGCAACTCTCCTTTGCAACCGTTACAACAGCCCAGAGGTGGTTGCAGACACTGCAGCTCCCTGTAAGAGCTCTAAGGCACCATCCCCCGGACACCTGCTCAGATGATGCCTAGAGCTGGGTGAGGGCTTGAACACATTTCCACTTAAAACAGTGATTGTGTGTGATGCCTCTCCACAGCATGCCCTCCCCAGCTCCTCCATGGGGGAGAGCAAAGTGGGTGCAGCGTGGCAACTGGGAGCGCTGTGTTGTCACCTCAGAGCTCACCCATGAACTGTCTTGTCTGTACATGCTTCAGCTTTCCAAACCACGAGCCAGCATGCTGCAGCCCAGGGGGACTGCTGCCCTCAGTCTGGGGTTGCTGCCCATCACCTACTCCTCCCCAGCGTGACTGTCCACTCACATCTGCCACCAGCATGTTTGTGGTATGCTCCCTACCCTGGTTCTGTCAGCAGAGATCTGATCCAAAGGAGCTTTTAATAGCAGCTTGTTTGATAAACCTGGGATACTTTGACAGATCTGTCACAGAAGATGCAAGGAACAAGCAGGTAAGAGCTGCTCCTGCCCACACCAAGGCTGGTGATCCCTAGGAGCCCTTGCCTTCAGTCCTGCTCTGCCACCACACTGAGATACAGCCGTTGTGCAACACGCCTGGTCACCCGCGGACTCATCAGCCATAGACAAACCTGGATTTCTTACAGGGATAAGAAGTCCTCTTTTCCAAGGCTGTCACATTTGCAGAGCCAGAGACGTCACAGATTAGGTGGGAAGCTGGGGTGGCTCAGCCCAGTGGCCGTGACATTGATGGCAGAAGGAAACGGGGACAAGGGAAGGTGCTGCAGATACCCGTGGGCACACGAGAGCCTGGCAAAACAAGCGCTGCTCTTTCAGTTACACCTGGGCAAGGCAGAGGCAGACAGTGGAGCCAGCACGTCCAGGGCCTCAGGGACACAGGGCTGCTCCCTGAAGAGCAGGGCAGGGTTTTGTACCCACTGACTCCATCCTACAGGGCTTGACAGATTGCCTCAATCAGGAGGTTATGCCACAGCACAAGACACCTTCTGGACAAAGGGCCAACTCTGCTTTCTCTTCCCAGATTTCACTGCATAGCGCCTACTACCATCCCCTCTCTCACTTCGGGAGTGAGAACGTTAAAAATAAATACAAAAGTACAGAGAAGTAACAATGGAAATGGCACACCCGCTCAGAGGGAGCTTAGAGGTGACACGTGCCAGCTGCACCCCCCGCTCTCTAACCTTCCTCATGCTAACTTAAGTTCTTAATCATTTATATTTCACCTCCCCCTCCACCTCCCACATGGAAACAAAAGATGATTCACACACCAAAATAATCACCTGGGACCTCCAAAAGCCCACAAATTCCCTCACTGTGGTCTAGGGAACTTGATAAGGAATTTTCCCAGTTTGGCATCTGGGTCTGACTCTGTCCCCTCCTCCTGTTCATACTGGTCCCCCAGCACAGAGGGGGCAGAACATGCCCACACACTATTTTTAGGACTTAAACTAATTGATCACAAGACAAACAGAATTTAAACATTTGAGGCATCTGAAAAATCCAGATACAGATGGGAAGCACCTGTGGCATCAGGGACACTGCCCCTGCCCTCTCTGGTGGGTGGAGAGGTGGATTTTCCACCAAGCAGGGAAGTGCCTTTATCACGTTTGGTGTAACCAGCATCACATCAGAAAGAGCGACCGGTGGTTAAAGCCCACTACCTGGGCTCGCCTGCGGAGAGAGGTCAACACGGTTATAGTACCAGAAGAGACCTGCAGCAATGGGTTTTCCCTTACAGGAGGCAAAGAGCGAAGCTGCGAACTGAAAGCTCAATTCCGGCACCCCCAACAGCAAAGTATCCATGCCCACACGCTGTGCAAGACATGCACAGGACCTCTGACATGAGTGTGAGTGCCGCGGCCCGCGCAGCCGCCAGCCCTGCCTGCTCAGCGCCGTCAGGGTGCACAGACACCCTCCGACATTTGGGCATCTCTCACAAGATAAGAAAACATTTGTAAAGCAGACAGTGAAGGAGCTTTCCTCCTTTCAAACTGCTCAGATCCAAAGCCAGAAAGTGCAGAAAGCAAAACTACAAGTGTCTCTGGCAGAGCTGTTAGCCCTATGGCACCCTCCAGCCCAAGCACTGAGCAGAGGCACTGCTGCCCACGAAGAGGAGGACAGCGCAATGCTCGTTACCACCCCAGCACTGACACAGGTGGACAGCTGGGTACAAAACCCAAAGCCATGACCCGCCAAGTATCTGCCAGCACAGGCAGAGGTGATACAAGTCATAAATCTGCCAGCACAGGCAATGCCAATAGACACAATTTCACAGTAGGGCTCTAGTTGGCTTCACTGTTGGGGCTCTCCTAGAAGACTACAATGGTTCAAAGTGAGAAACACATTCACTGAAGCAAAGAGCTGGAAACAACTGTTAAACCTTTAAAGCAAGGAAGAAACAAATAAAAGCCTGCAGTTTCCAGGGCATTATCACAGGTCTGCTCTCCCAGAGAGAGGCTACAAATGCACACAAAACTAGAGACTCACAGCAGGGCTTGGCAAACGGTTGTAACACACCGCCCGGGCAGGCACCACTGTCCACCACCAAAGTGCTCCATTTCCCAACAGGTGCAAAACACGTGCACGAGGACAAGTTACAGTGCTCAAAAGGCGTTCTCAGAAACAGAGAATCACCTTGGGGACATTCCTCACAAGACAAGATGAGGTCCTTGCCCCCCACCCACATACCAGGCAAGTATATACTGCTTCTTGCAAAAGATGCTGAAAACCAGCAGAGATGCAACTCAACTGGCCAGTTTCCTAAGCATCTCCCTTGTCTCTGCCATGCCAAGGGATCAGAAGGATCACATCGATTTTGCTACCTGGCAGAGCAGCAACCCCAAAGGCTGCTCCAGGTCTTCTCCAAGAAATGTTTTTACTTCTCTGCAGAGAAGTAAGCTCTAGCTCTCCAGAGTTTACAGGTTTTCCCCCGTGCTGTGCTGAGGCTAATGGGGATTGAGGTTTTTTTTTCCCCTTCAGATTTTAAATCAAAAGCAAAGCACTTTGATCCACTTTGAAATGGTGCAATTAAACCAATTTCTGAACAATTTTCAGTTCTCTTCTATAGGAAGAATTAAGCAAAGCCATGCTTTTCAGTATTTTGAATAGGGAAAAGATTCATACATCTATGTAGCTCTCAATCCATCCCCCCAAGCAGGGAAACTGAAGAGATTTACACTGACATGTAAATCCCTGCGACAGACTTCTGTAAAACCACTAAGAGGCACATCCAGAAGGCAAAGAAGTGCATCACACCTTCTGGAAGTAGAAAGTGTGAAAAGGAAAGAGATGACAACCGCCTCCCTTTCCCTAAATCTCAGTCATAACTCCTGCCCTATCTTGGCATTCGTGTGCCCACTGCTGATGTCAATCTAGGTAACACTGGTGTCACGCAGCACTTGGAAGACCCCACGGCTATATCAGAGATGGCAACACTCTAGAGACCAACACCACATCAAGGGTAGTCCAGTCCATGGATGTCAACACAGTTGCCTCTGCACACCACAGCACTACACAGACCTCACACACAGCCCGACAAAGAAACTGCCAGATAAAAACGCCGTTACCTTCCTCCAAGTCGTTCCTCAGAGAAGCCTCCAGCAGAGCAACACTGGCTTCAAAAGACACTTTCTTTCGGTTAACAGCATTTCTCTTCTTTTCATGTTTCCGCTTCTTGTGCTGCATCTCCTTCTCATACTGTGCCCATTTCTTCAGCTGCTGAGCCCTCCGCTTCTGGGCTGCCCGCAGCCTCTCCAGCGTGGGCACCTTATCCAGCAGCTGCAGCTCCGTCAGGAGGTCCACGTGGGCATCCATCGCTTCTGCCACGAGAGAGGGGGTGAAGGATGTCCCAGCGGGAAACAATGTCCCACCACAGGTCCTCGGGATCACAGCTGCCCGCTGCTATACCAGCATCTTGAGGCCGAACTGGGAAGAGCCCATTCCAGCTTCTGATGAGAATGTGGTAGAAACCTGAAAAGAGGAGGAAAGTGTTAGGGATCAAGTTTCATCATCCTGTGCAGTCAAGCAACTATGACCAGCCTGCTGGAAAACATGGCACACAACACCTACCATCTCAAAAGGCAGCTCACTTTAATTGCTTGGTTGTTCTCACCGGCCTTTGTGATTTTGCCCTTCACCCTCTCCAAACACCCAAGCAAAACCCTCTTGATTAAGCAGTAATTTTAGAGTGCACTTCATTCATATCTGTAGTTCAGGATAGCCCTCTCGTGAGCAGAAGAAAGTCTTAATAAGCAAAGATCTTTCACAGTATTTGATGTCACTCCTCAGACAACTCAGGAAAGATTCAAGGACCGAGACACATCCTCCCCTCCAGCTGGCCCCTTCCAACATAACTATCACCCCGCGTTACAGGTGTCCTCCACACAGCAGCCAGGACTGCTCACTGATGCACACCAGCAGCCACTCCGAATAGCACAACACAGGGCAGAAGGGACCAAGACCGCAGTGGCAGGGCCCCGGGCAGCCACAGACACCAGATCAGACCATCCCAGCACAAATAACCCAGAAGCCCGAGGCTGGAGATGCATAGGGCTACCCATCCGGCACCCCAAGGCCAGGCAGGTTTTCCCAGAGGAGCTCCACCAGGAGCATCATCTGTGCTCTTCTAATTCATCCATTGGCCCCCTCTCACCCCAGCCCTAGCCGAAGGCAGAGAGATAGGATATGGCTCCCAGACAGGTATTACTAACACTTAAACTGCCTCAGCTACTTAAAAACATGGGAGGTTGTGTTAATTTCTCTGTTTTTTTCAGGTTTTCTTCACCACATACTAGCTCATCTTGGTTTTGCTGTACAGAGTCCACAAGCACAACAACAAGAGCAGTTAAATCACAACCCCAGACTCTCGGTGTGACCATGACACCAGCGACCTCTGAGCAGCGCTACCCACAGAGCCATCAGCCAGAGAACCCATGGGCAGCCACCCAATCATCTGCTGCACAGGAGAAGGAAATATGTCCCAGATTTAAGAAGCAGTCCAACAGGGAAAAATGCATTTGAAATAAAGCCAATGTCACAAGCAAATTGAATGAGTCTTTTCCAAACAGATCCATGCAAAGCACATCAAGGTGAGCATGCCAAATCGAGGTAAGCTGCAAATAACCATGTATGAAATGAGAGCTTTTATGGTTCAAACAGCTTTAAGGGGGGGAAGAAATAAAAGAGTTGATGGGGAAGAGAGACTGTGGAGAGCTCATGTATTCACAAGTACCTGAGAAAGCCCCAGCAAGGCAGCTGAAACCATTCCTTGCTCAACTCTCCTGTCTAAAAGAGAGGAAGCAACTGTCTTGTAAGTAATGGATGCAAAGCATCTATGGGAAAAATAGCAGCAAAAGAGAGGTAGCTAGACCCAGATGAAAGATGTGGTGAGGATACCAAACCTTTCCCATCCAGCCAAGCCAGGAAAAGCCACCATTCATCCGTCTTCAGAGGGCAAAGCAGCCCAGTTGGGGAGGCATGACTCTGAGGAGCTGCAGGGAAACATCCATGGCACACAGCACATCCTCCACGTCCCAGTGAATTTTGCAAGGTTGATACATCCACTCCTTCCAAACACTGCTACAGACCTTCCACAGGGGTTTGACCTTACCTATAAATATCTCAGCAGACTGACAGCGAGGCACACCATTTCCTCCGTGAGATAATTGGTTTGAGAACTGAAAGCAAACAAACTCAGCCAGAGCACGCAGGTGGGTCCTGGGCAGTTGCTTTACCCAGTAAGTGGCCAACAGAAGGCTAAGGGCAGCTCCAGCAGCACTTGCAAACCTTATTTTGAGGCTTTCAGGATAGACCTGAACAAAAAACCCCTGCTCTATCCCATAAGAATTTAAGATTTAAAAAAAAAAAAAAAAAAAAAAAAGGTTTAGTTCCACATAGGGGTAAACCCAAATCCTTGCTAAGTTTTTCATGAGAGATACTACCTAGAAATTGAAACACTTTCCTGAGATGGAAAATATCAACTCGTAACTTTAACATGCCACTGGAAAGCAAGGGAAGTGTGTCATGGCTTAAGAGCGCAGCACAGCTCTCCCTGCCCCCTGCCCGCAGCCCCCACCAGCCAGGACTCCCCACGGCCCCCACAAACTCTGCTGACAACACAGCGGTGTAAACGCAGCCCACTTTCCAAAAAGCTTTTATTCTGGGGCAGACACGTTTTCCAAGCACAGGTACGGGGCTGGAAAGCTCTTCACCACCTCCGGTGAACTCGGCAGGGCTCCTGCCCCTTGCAGGCAGTCACGGGAAGGTATCTTTTTTGGCGATCTCCACTCCAGTAACGCAGGCTGCAGATCTGAAGCCCCATTTACAATACCTCGAAGGAGGGGAGATAAGGGCAGGAAATGCCTCTCGACATACCACACGCGGCACTCCCACCCTGATCCTTTTCCAGGCCACTTATGCCATTGTTCGCTGCAAGATGAACAAATATTTTTCCAAAACACACCTGAAGTAGAAATGAGGACCTAACTCTGAAGGTTTATTAATGCAAAGAAACCTTATTTCAGTGTTTCCCTGCTTATCAAAAAAAAAAAAAAAACCCTGGAAGTTTCTTGGTGGTATTAGGACTGCGCTTTGGAAAAAGCAACAGGACATTAGATTTATAAGGAGAGCAAAAGCATCTGCTTGCCCATGTTCCAGCTTTCCTGCATGTACCTTGTCCTCCAGCAGCTCCTCTCGGAATAGAGCAAAAGGGAGAACTGAGTGACCTACAGAGAGGAATGAAACAGAGAGAGGAGATCCACAAACACCAAGAAACATCTACCACCAGACACCAGCGTCTCCTCAAACCAACCAGCAAATGAAGCTCTAAAGGAGCAGAGAGGACACCTCGAGAGGTCTTCCTGAAAGGGTGACAGCTCAACTTCTCCCAGACTGAGGTACAAGTCCCCTAGCACCCTCCACAGACCCCAGAGCCTCAGACTTTGGTTCCATCACTCTGGCTGCCTGTTTTCTGATGACCTAGTTTCTTCCCTGTACCAAGAAAATGGCACATTGACTTCTCATTGTACAAACTGGTCAGTCTAACTATAGCACGGTTTCAGGCCCAGCATTTGTTTACCTGCAAAGTGACACAGAAGCTCGCTGTGTGGGTGCCTGTGGTTTGCAAGGCATCACATTTTGGTTTCTGTTTTATTTAAAGAAGTAAAAAAAAAAAGTGTCGTTCCTTGCGTTGGACCGAGCTGAGTTTCCATGAGCTCAGCAGATCTGCCTGCTGCCGTGCCGAGCACATCCTGCCAGACACATGCAGCCCACGGCCCCGCAGGGACAACAGTCGACTATTTCAGGGGCCAAAAGGAAGACGAGACGCTCGCTATTGTATTGCACTTGTGCCATTGCTGTCGCCTCGGTGCTGTGGCAGAGAAAGACCTGCTGAACTGTGTCAAAGATCAGTCCCTACAAAAGGCGTGTGAGGGTTGGCAAACACAATCTTTTTTTAAAAAGTCTGCATTTCCTCTACATTTTGTCTCACCTCAGTACAAAGACTCACCTCACTAAGCTCAAAAGGACTTTCAGGGCACTGGTTACTCACTTGCAATACAACAAGAGACGGCGATTCTGTGAAGCGAGTTTTAGTGAGTCAGTGGCTGCAACAAGCCACCTACCCTGTACCACCAACCCTGCCGGGAGGGGTCCTTCCCCTTCTTCCCATTTCACATTTAGAGGCTGGCACTTGCATCCTGAAAAGGAGAAAACTGAGTGCACTAATTTTCCTGTTCCAGTACATTCTCAGAGCTGTCCCTCTCAACCTTCCTATGAAGGATTCAACTTGCAGACACTATGCCATAATACTGCTGAGGTTGGAGCTGGATCCATTAAAACAGCCACACTGCTGAGTGATGCTGAAGAGCCTCCTCATCTCCCCACCAGACAATGAAGCCTGGAGCTACGACCTGCAAAACCTCCATCATATCTCCCCAAGGCACTACTTAAAGCACAGCATGGCACTGAAGCAGAACATAAACATAAGAGCCCTTCACTTAAGTGTCATCAACTGACATCGATTTTATTGCACTTAAAAAAAAATTTAAAATAAACACAAACCTTGGAAGTGCAACCCTTGAATGGGACACCTTGAAACAGAAGAATTCTCTAGTTGCTGAACTAAGTTATACATCTTTCAAGCAAAGGTAAAACTCAAGACCCAGGTACATGAGCGGCCACTTCTGAAGTCAAGGAGATCACTCTCATTCACTGGATTGCTTGTGAGGAGGCACCTGCAGGATTGGGCCCAGCTGATTAGGTGAAGCATCTGCGTTTGCAGCATAAAGTCAAGTCAGTGGCATGAAGAGTGACAGAATCTGCCCTCTCCTCTCTACCTCAAGCAAATCTTCTCACAGCTGGAATTGGAAACTAAGCACAAAAGCCTGCATCACGGATCTGAGCACATAGGCAGCCTGCAGAGGAGGTGGCTGATCTATTTATTTCACTAAGAATCAACTCCTGCACCATGGCAAGGTGAGGAATTGCCAAATTTACTCCTTCTGCTTTATACAAGGGCCAAGGCCAATCTGTGCTATTTGTCCCCCACAAAATGCTAGATAACCAGCCCATCGCAGCCCCTTTGCTGAACCCATTCTCCGGCAATGAGCACCAGTGAAGAATTCACACACAGGCTTCTCTTCCAGGAATCATCTTCAGGATTGTCACTGCTTGGTGATACAAAGCAGCCAAAGATGTGTGTGCTGTATTGCTGTTTCTGCTGTTGGCCAGGATCTCCCCAAGGTCTGGAGGAAGCACCAAAGCAGCTCTTCATCACTTTCTCCCGGATGAGGGAAAAGCTCACTGGCAGCCCAGCAGGGGTAACACCATCCAGAGAGCCACTGAGAGAAGGAGGTGACAGATGGAGGGACAGGCAGGAGTAGCAGGAAAAGAAAGTCACAACTGCCCCCAAGAGACAATAAAGCGGGGGACATGGGGGGGGCTGCCCAAAGCATGGACGTACCATGA